CACAGACAGACAGACAGACTGACAGACACACACACACACACACTCTGTCAAAAATGACCACAATGGAAATGAATGGCAAGCGAATTTCATGTAGTGGAAATGATTGGTACTGCACTGAAAGCTCATTGTTTTTGAGATATCAGATGTGGAACACAACTTGTTTAGATTTATGGCTTTGATTTTCAAGCAGTTTTAGAGTAAAACATATTTTGGAAAATATTTTGGTAACACTTTACTTAAAGCCTTTTTATGTAACTCATAAAGGTAGTTTTAATGCATGAATCATGCCTTATAATGTATCGTATGATCTGATGAATAATTGTAACCACAGTTATAATACATTATAATACTTATGTTTCATCTTTAGAAAGTATAATGCATTAAAACACATGACAAACAAACCTTCAAACATTATAATGCATTTTAACTTTCGTTATATCTATTTATGAAAATATATAATGCATTACAATGTACATTATGAATACCTAAAGAGTTACCTATATTTTTTCATATAAAATTTGAAAATAGTGTTTTTGTGCACTTTCATAACAATATACTTAAACATCGATAACCTATATCTTACCTATATAACCTAACGACTATAACAGCTATATCTTTTTTAGCTTTAATTTCTTCTTTTCTCTCTTTTTTTCACTTAAGCAAAAAAATCTGCCAAGTGTCTTCTTTAAAAGAGACCAAACTTAAGGTTGTGCTCACTCAAGATTTATGACAGTTTAAGTTGTAAATTTAATTTTCAGGTCTATGCTTAGAAATTGGTAACAGGTAATGAATAAATCATCCATACTTCAGTACCATAAAATATACCCCTAAAAATATTCATAAAAGTTTACATTATCAAAGTAAAATAGTACATAACCCTAACTGAAATAAAAAATTCTGTCATTTTTGGCCGGCACACGAGCCACACCAGAGTTCGCCGTTATTTCGTGTTGATCAGCTAATAATCAAGGAGAACCTGTCTAGTGCAAAACTGTGGTGCTTAAACTGTGTGCTAGATGAGTTTAGAGAGTCCTGTGATCTTCCAGCGCTGCGTTTGTTTTCTTTTCCTCAGGCATTCGGCTTCATGTGTCGAGTGGCTCTGCAAGCAGAGAAGATGAACCATCATCCGGAGTGGTTCAATGTTTATAACAAGGTAATAACTTCAAACCCAGCCACATATTTCTCACTGTTGAGCAGCAGTTTATAAAGTTTTTCCAAATGTTTAACATGAATACACTGTGTTTAAACTACATGAGAGGCCACACACATCAGGCCTTTGAAAGTGTCGCATTTGCACGGCAAACAATCGCACTACGTAGTGCACTAGCTCACATTTCATGTCAGGCCGAGTGAGAAAAGTGGAGCGAGCACTGGGAAACAATCCTGACGATCTGTAGTGGAAAATTTATTTGTGAAATAAGCATTAGTGGTTTCGTAAATCAGCTTACTTATCAGCAACTGTGCGGTAGGCCGACGTCTTTATTAAAGTAACTGCAGGACAGGACAGGCTTGGGCTGTTCCCAATACTCACTACTGCAGTCGCCCAACACACGGATAGAGGACATCACTGTGTCATCAGCATAAACATGAAACCTAGCATTTATAATGATAACGTTAACATGAGTAATAAAAAGTAGCGGCCCCAAAACAGAGCCCTGAGGAACACCCCTAGTGATCTGTAAAGGGGTGGATATATCGAAAGCTAGCTGTTGATCATGACTGAATTTCTGGCTGTCTTTCAGGTCCAGATCACTTTATCGACACATGACTGTGGAGGACTGTCAAAGAAGGACATTCGACTGGCCAAATTCATTGATAAGGTGGCTCTGTCCCTGTAGAGGCTCTTTCTTCTGGAACGTACATTCATTTTCAATATTTCAAATCTTCTGTATTGTATTCCCAAAAAGGGAAATAGTTAATTTGTTAATTCACACATGTGTGTGTTTAAAATAATTTTTCTTATTCGGATCTACATGATTCTGGTAAATGCATATCAAACAGATGTTGGAATACTGTTAGTAGATACATTTCATATTCATTAAATATCTGATACAGTTTTAAATCATTTGTTCAGGTGCATTTTTACATATAAAAAAATTTAAGTTAAAAACATGTATTATTAATATAATTTATAATGAATGTCTGATAATTGCTATATGCAGTGGGCCAGCAAATTTTCCGTTTTCCGTTTTCTGTATCGACGGACACTTGTTCACTATGCTGTTTGCAGCCCTTCAGACTAAACGTATACACTCCCCGAGCTTTAAGATGACCACTTAAGTCCCCTTCACAGGGCACTGTCGGACAATAGGAAGTAGTAGTGATGAGCAAATGAAGCCTCGTGAAGCACTGAGGCTTTCCTCTGACTGTTTCGGGAAAAGATTCAAAGCGTCGAGACAACATGAAAACAAGACATGACGGGAGTGTCAGGGCTCTGTCATAAAACCACAAGAAAACGAGACCAAAGTGACAGAACCCTGACAAATATGTGTGCTGTGTAACCATGACAAGCATCTAGACCTCTGAGTATGTCATATGAAGTTTTTGAAAAAGAATATATATATTTTTTAAAAAATTCATAATGATTTGAGTGCCAAACTCCATGCGTTTCATTTGTAATGAGAGCTGATGTTAAAACCCCAGAGTACTCTGAAATGTCAGCAGGAAACTTGTACAGACCCATATTTTCCTTTTAGTCAGTTTATAAGCATGCAGCATTTTGACTGTACCACGTTTACTTGGGCTACACAAAATGACAACACATTTTCATAATTTCTTAGGACGAGAAAGAGCGTACAGTATGTTTCATATAGACATGTAGACATGGTGTGCACCTCAGTGAGCCGACAGAGCGCAGGTGATCCTGGTGCCAGAGCTAGCCCTGACATGAGTCACAGCATAAAACACCAGGCCTGATTGTTGGTGGGAAGCATGTGGCTCAGATCAGGCTTGTGAGTCGTGACCATGGGCCACATTTGAAACTGATAAACTGATTTTTGTTTTAAAGTATTCCAAGATTATTTCTTATTAGATAGACATTTTAGCATTGATAATTAAGCGAATGATTTAAGGCAGTTTGCTGTTTTCATTTAAAATTACTGCATTTCATTTTCACTTCAAAGATTACATAATTTTAAACAAGACTACTTTTTAAAATTATGAAGTGAATACAATTTCTGTAACCATTAAACCAATAATTATCATGCAATGTTTATTTTGTTTGCTGTGCAACAATTTTATGAAAGTGCTTTGGGTTTAAAAATGACCATAAAATACACACCAAATGCACCATAAAATGATCATAAAAAGTATTTTATTTGTGTGCTGTAATATTAATATCTGGTTTGCATGTGATTGCGTGTGAGGAACAGATGCAAATGCAATCTTTTTCTACATCCTCTCGTACGGTCACCTTTGCTAAAAAATCAATTACAACAAGTATTATATTTCCCCACTTTAAAGTTCATTTTGTGCATTAATTTTTTTAGCATTTGGTAAAACATTTGGTATTAATACTTTTATGCAAGGATTGATCCTCTCGATACAATGTGTGTCGATATCGCAAGTGATTTCCACACTTACCAGCATTGTATTAATGACTTCTTTTTTAGTTTCTAACAAGGGAATGACTCCACATCCACAAACACAGTCATGACTAGTATATCACAAAAGATCTTATTAACTTCATTTCATTTTATTGTTCGTTAAAACTGCTGTAGTAGACTCTACAGTACTTGTTTTCCACTGGTTGATTGCTATCATAGTCAGTTTACTCATCTATGATGATTTCACCTCTGAAAAGCTGAAGGTATTATACAGGTCTGTTAAGCTGCATTAATCGCTGGAGATTGTGGGTCACTGAGCTGTTGGTTTCTAGCAGGCTGTCCCAAATGCCACCTGTATCAGCCGGCGGATCACTTTTAGTGCTCCCATTGGTAGTCACACAGTGCTTCGCTGCTCATCTGCATTAAGTTGCTTTGTTGCATTACCAATGGCCAATCTAATTAACTCACTCTTTACTGAAGAGTACTGCACCAACTCTTTCCACAAACCTTGGATGTTGTGGTAAAACAGAGCTAGGTTGAGTTAGCAGTAGAAAACAACATCTTCAGGAACTGTAGTCTGGCATTGTTTGCAAGAATAGTGTTTCTTGTCTGCTGCTGGAAGTCAAATGTTGTGGTGTTTGGGGACTAGCCACAGCAGTCAAATATCTGCGAATCAAGATAACAAGGTTTCCTACATCATGTCCTTCCATTTAAATGAATTTTACTGGGTTAAATTTCAACCCCAACCGCATTGGTGTCACCTGTAGGCCTATGTGATAAACAAACTGTGCCTTCTGTGGTCCAGGTCCTCCGATAACATACTGGTTTCATCCCCAGAGCGTCCATATATTTGCCGGGAGCTCCGCACAGGTCACCGAGGGTTTGCCATGCCCCAGTCAATAGAGATTTTTTGAGAAACTCTGAAGAAAAGTTGATATTTACCAGACTAGAAATGGTTTCAAAACTATTTCTAAAGAGTTTAAGATCCACCAATCTACCAGGCAGATTGTACAAAAGAAAGAAATTCAACACCACTGTCCAGGCCCCAGTGTACTCAAAGGGAAATTCAATAATGAACATATTTAAACGAACTTGATGTTGAATGAAATCCAGCCGAAATGAAGGTGATTTTGACCTTCAGGAAAACTTTGATCGTTAAACACAACCTAATTGCCATTGGCAGATGGTGACTCTAGGTGGGTGTAACCTGGGGCTCCATCTATAGGTGTTTTTAAACTTCTTCCTATTTTGGCACACTGCACTGTCTACCGGCTTCGGAGAAAAGAAAATCTAAGAAACTGGGATTGAATGTCTGCTCTTATTTTGCATTACAACCACACCTTACCATCTCCAGACTGATGGTTTGGTTGAATGTTTCAACCAAACCCTGAATAGCATGCTGAACAAATTTCTGACTGGGACCAGTGGTTACCCTCAGAGATGGGCAGCTCTGGTGCTCGAGATCCACTTTCTTGCAGAGTTTAGCTCCAGTTCTCATCTAACCTGAGCAAGCTAATCACGGTCAGGATTCAGGATTGCTAGAAAGCTACATGCAGGTTTGCCTGTACAATCAGGGTTGGAGCTAAACTCTGTAGGGCCTTGGACCTCAAGGGCCTGAGTTGCCCACTCCTGCTTTACCTAGTGGTTGCTCCTAACCTCCTTACCTAGTGGGGCCCAAGGATAGTACATACAGTGTGGTCCAATATATAATCCAAATCAGAGACCATCTGGAAGAAATTACATCACTGGCCCAGGATCCCAGCACTCTCAGAAAACTTGGAATGAGTGCCACGGAGGGATTCTTAGTGCCAAGTTCTGAAAACAAGTTGCTTTGTTGGCATAGACCCTACAAAGTAATGTGAAAGACTGGCAGCATCACCTGCAAGATCTCATTGCCGGAGCAGAGAAAGAAAGAGTAAAACTGCTATATTAACTTGCTGAAAAAAGTCCACCCCAGGGCAGAGCCAACTCTTTGTGCCATTGGTAAGGAGTATGAACCAACAGGACAGCTTTTCTAAACTAGCTGCACACAACAAGTGCTGGATGTTTCCGGTCTGGAGCAACCTCAAGGAGACCAGGCAGAGCAGTTGAGCTGTCTCAGAAGAAACCTGGATTTACTAATCGGGTGCTGAAGTAACCCCATCCCTCCAAACGAGCTTTTGTATCCCCGAACATCTGATAAATGTGATTACAGATGAACTGGACATTATGCGCTCCATCGGTGTCATTAAAACATTCATCAGTGAGTGGTGTAGTTTCATCATGCTAGTCCCCGAAAGGATGGAGCACTTCGATTTTACATCGACTTGTGGAGTGGAGACTCTTCTAGCAAACGTTCTTTCCTGCAGACAGATGCCTCTGGAGTCAGTAGAAGGGGATTGCATATCGCTGGCATTCCTCAGCCGGATTTCCCTGAGAGACGTGATACTCTAGAAGAAGGGTTTGGCTAGAACATGGGCCCTGGATTCCCTCCATTTCTACCTTCTGGGGAGACCCTTTGTGCTAGAGACAGACTATCGACTACAGTGACTGGAATGCATGAAAGACTCCAATGCACAAATTGCAGTCTCGCTCCCTTCAGCCCTACAGATTCACTGTGAAATATTATCTTCTTTCTCAAATATTGTTAGAGGGGCCGAAGTGTGATCCCAGCTGTCCTCTGCAGATGGTTGGGGTTGCTCTCTTGTGCCCCAATTCCCCTTTCTTTCAATACCCTTCTTTGTTTAATAAAGACATACATGAATTTAAAAACTATGTATTTAACTTGATGTGGCACTGAAGTGGATGTTAGCTGGCACATCGGTGCCATAGCAGACACTGTGGTTGAACACACATACAGATAAACTGTTATGTCTCGGACTGACCAGCTGAGGGCCGAACCAACAGACATCACCCATATTGCTCATACATGGCTGCAGATATTTTACCTCTTAAAAGACCTGAAAGGACTTTTATCAATGTTCTTATACCCTTGCTGGAATAATGATAGAGGACGCCAAGTATGGTGGGAAGGCGAGGAGCTGTTTGTTTGTTATGGTGCTTATGCTTTTTTAAATTTAAGCAATTCTCTGTTTACCCAAAGCGAGTATGATAGTTTATGGTATCACGGTATCATATCATATATTGTATGGTATCATATTAATCTGTTTAATGTTAAAGAATATGATTACCCGTGAGTGTAAACTGTCAGATAATAGAGCTGCTAGTTAGTCTGTAACTAGCGTTCGGTAAGATTAGTTATTATTGAAGAGTGCTGTTATTGAAGAATTGCAGTTTTTGGTTTGAGGTTGTTTCCTTTGTTCGTTTGGTTTATTTCTGTAAATAATTGGAGTTTTGTATGTTGTATTGTATAATTATTTCTTTATTTTGTCACATTGTGCTGTCAGCTGGTTTCTTTAAGCTGGAGGTTTCTTTTTCTCCATGACTCTTCCTTGGGGACACCTTAGCTTTATTCAGTTTCTCAAGAAGATTCCTTTGGTCAAGCCAGGAGCTGTAACCTTCAGTAACTGCCTTAGCCTTTATTTCCTCTTTTAGCCCATCTGTAATGTTAAAGCCTGCCACAGATCCAGTGGTCATCTCATTCCTGTTCCAGCCACAAGGTCAAGGCTGGCACGGTCCAGTTAACCTGCTGGTAGATGCTGTAACTAAACCCTCTGGCTGCAAAAGTCATCATTCTCCACTGACAGCCAGGGCTGCGTTTCCCAAATGCAACTATGGTCGCAAGTTCCATCATTACCAATAGAGTTCAATGGAATTAACGACCATAGTTATCTAACAATGCTTTTGGGAAACACACCCCAGTTTGGTCAAGCAGCACAGAAACCTCAAATATGGAGGTGGAGTAATAACTTTTCTGGAGTTTGATGTCAGAACCCTTGACCCTTTACTGCAGGTGGTTCTGCTGAACACAAAAGAAGATATTTTGAAGAATGTGTGTAACCAAACAGTTGACAGTCCCCACTGACTTCCATAGTATGCAAAAAAAATACTGTGGCTTACTGAAAGAAAGTCAGAGGCTACCATCAACAGTTTGGTTACATTCTTCAAAATAACTTATTTTGTGTTCAGCAGAAGAAAGAAACTCATACAGGATTGGAACAACTTGATGGTGATTATGACAGAAATTTTATTTTTAGATGAACTATCTTTTTTTAAGACAGTTTCCACTCGACTAAATGTATCACTGAAGCTGCTGGATTTAGGTTTACAGGTAAAGTTTTTCCATAAATTACATCCAGGTCAGTCCATTACAGCAGTATACTGTATGTTCGCGCAGCGCTTTTGTTTTTAATTTAAGAAAACATTAAGTCAGTCTTTTATCTTGGTTTCTTAATCGGTGAAACTGACAGGCTCACTGACTGAGGAGGGCAAAATCAGCAATAACAGCTGCTAAATGTGACCCCCACCATCTGAACTGAGTTGTTCATAGTCGGCTAGTGTGGCGAAACTAAATCAGTTTGCATTATATTTATTCCAGTGGTAATATTTGTAAATATTATTTATCACTATACCCGTGTTTTAATCAAGGATCTCCTTAAATACACAGTTCGATTAACACTTTACCTACTAATGTCTACATCATATGTTAATTACAAAAACAATTTCAATTACAATGTGTAATGAAAAAAATAGGGTAACTTTGTTTTAAGGTGTCCTTGTTATACATGTACTTAGCATTAGCACAAAATTATGCATAATTACATGCAATAACCCTAAACCTAACCCTATAGTAAATACATGTTCATTAATATTACTCAGTACTTGAATGTATAATTACACTGTAACAAGGACACCTTAAAATAAAGTGTAACCAAAAAAGGTATTACTCTTTTTTTTTTTTTTATTATTTATTTGTTACAGGTAATACAATTACTATTTATTGCTCATTACTTACAAATACGCACAGGAACACAGTAGTGTGATCTTTATTTTTTAATCAGAGTTATTCACCCTTGGTCTATACCTGACATATTTGTGTACTATACAGAAGAACGAGATTTCACCCAAAGCTCTCCTTCCCCAAATGTTCTTATTGCACTAAAATTCAACTTTCACAAACACATGTAATTTTGCATTGAGAATGTAATTAAGTCTGAACAATTTTTCTCGATTTAGCCGCCTGGCGCGTCTGTTAATCATAATAAAAGAGAAGGAGCTGGTCGCTAGTTGTTCTTTCAGTAGATCTGAATAGTCTGAAGCTGCAGGATGAAACTCTATCAGAGAGAATCAGAGTAAAGTACCTGCTATCACAAAACTGCTTGGTTAATCATTCCCTCTAGACATGATAATAGGCAGTTTTGTGAGTCTATAAAAGCCTTCATGGCAGGACTGGTGTGCTGCAGGCAGTTAGAAATGCGAGTGTTTTAAACTGTGTCTTTATGTTTCGAACATTTATATTTGATGTGTTTGGGCTGATCATAAGCATTGCTTAAGGTTTGTTTTGTTTTTGCTGACTTTCCGAGACTGGTTTTAATTGATTTGTTTAATTCTATTTTTTCTTCATTTAGGTTAAAAGTCTTTAGCAAGCTACTTTGTATTATATATAGATAATAATCCATGGTTTAATCTAAATGTTTTTTTTTTCTCAGAACATTGGATATTTTCGGGTTGTTATTAATCATAATGTCCTTATATTGCTTCTCGCGAGTTATGTGATTTAAGTATTCCGCTTCTTTTTTTTTAACGACATGCCTTTTCAATCAATGTTATGGTTATTCTGTCTTATCAAGCGTCCCATCTTCCTTTGCCAAACAACCTTTGTGTTTGTTGTGACAGAATAATTACACAATATTACTCACATTACAAAGTGCAATGACTGTACATTATAACATACAGACTCTTTTGATGTTTATACCGATGGATTATGATTAAACATACAAATCATTTAAATTTTAAGTGCGATTTCAGGCAAAATATTGTCTTTTTATTGTCATAACATGTAGGTTGCTACAGCTTTACACTGAACGAGCTGACTGAGCAAGAAGTAAAGAAAACAAACAAAAAAAAGAGTTCTTTAAATGTACAGAATTTTCCATGTAATAATAGACTAATGATTGAATAATCATATAGAGAGTATGACGCACCAGAGTAAATGTCACATTATTGTTATAGTTATTGTAAAACGTTAAAGAGCACGAGCAGCTGTTTCTATCTGGGCTGAACCTTCACAATATTGTCGTTAGTGTGACCCGGATTAGTTCGAATTTTCGAATTTTAAAAAGTAAATGTCGATGTTGCAACATTTTACGTTACCCGATGAAACTTTGATAATTCAGTTATTGTTGGTTATTGTTACAATATTATACAATATATAATATCATAATAGCTGTTCCAAATACTTTAATGTTAAAAACTGGTAATGTTAAAAATCAGTTCGTTTTAGAGTCACCGTTGTTGTTGTTATATGCTTTTATTAAATTTCCACGATGTTTATGTAATTTGAATACTGCGAAAGCAATAACTACATGAAGATAGTAACACTAAATGTAATCATCCGTTAGCTTATTATGAACCCCCTACACTTTGAAATGTAAAAATAAGCCTAGTTGAGAGCATATGATCATTAATGTTCTGCTTTTCTTAGTTCTGTCATAAGGAGAACATTCTCTAACCCAGCTCTAATTGAGGGAGATAGGAAAGCCAAAGGTGCCAGAGTATGGATTTCCTACGAGACTGATGAAGATTGATTTAGAATGAGTAATTAAACACGTTGAAGTGACGTGCATTGTCTTCTTATCATAAGCGATTAGAATATCTACACAATGTGGCTTGACTTCATATCAGTGATTGATTGATCAGAGAGGATGATGGTCATTTACTGACAATTAATTTTTTTACTTCTTTTAGAAGGACAGTAGGCTATATAAAAAATAAACATTTGCAAAAATCCGGCGATTTATTTCGCGCTTCTCTTTTGTGCGCTTTAGTTGTAGAATTCGTTATGCTAGCCTATTTAAATCTAATTCTAAAAAAAAACTTCTTTAAATCCAACTGATCTAATCCTAACTAGAATTTACACAACATACGGTATAAGAAAATGTAGCGTGATTCACTAGAATTTGTTTTTGTCAGAAACAATTCAAAAACCGCTCGAAGTGTTATTTTCAATGCTATTTCTACTCAAGGCTACTGCGCATAAAGAAATAATACTTCTAATAATTATTATAATATGTGTGGCAGCGCTTAACAAGTCAATGCGCGTCAGTTTCTGTAAAGACTGAACGTAACTGAAAAGTGCTTCGCTCTATTTTCACCAGATTCTCTTCTTCGAGGCTTTGGCGTTGTCCTCGGTATGTGATGTTCACTTTCTTTCAGTCTCTTGTTTGATTTGGGGAATGGGTTTAACGCGTCCTTGAAAAGGCATGTCAACATTGTGCAGTGAGCTCATTCTGTTAGCCTAACTGGGCAAAGCAGAGGAAGTGACCATTAACACGGGCCTCTCTCAGCCGACCTTTTAGGAAATTAAAGGCATTATTATCAGTGGAAAAGGATCAGTGGCATTAAAGAAAAGATCAGTTACGACAGACCCTCTCCTACGTATCATCTAAATAGCTACACCTGAATACACCCATGCAGATAAAACAGTCACTTAATGTGGCAAACCGAGATAAGGAATAGATTTTAAAGTTTGCCTTTCTCTCTTTCATCCTAAAGGTATATTTGGATATAATTGCGTGCTTTGGAAATCATTTATAATTAAGAAATGTGCTGGAGCATTTAAAAAAAAGCAAATGGAAGGATTTAGTGCATGCATATATGGACACATACTGATGTCAAGCGTAATATATGGAAAGAGAAAAGGCAACATTTCATGCATTGAAATTTAGCTCGGCGAATAGGGAAAAAAACCCTTAGATATGATTGAATGATTGTTTAAAGATACTATATTTTTCAATGAAAAAAGCTGATTTTCGATTATGTACAATGTCCGCTTTTTTAAAATACAGCCCAATCCTTTCGAGAAATTATTTTAGGAATTCTTAATTTTGAGGTTTATTCAAACATTTCCATAAACATATGCACAATTTCAACCAACAGGGGTACAACATAAAGTTATAGCTTTGTTATTTAGTCTACACATTCATATAATTTTTACAAAACATTTTTTTGCACTCGAAGTAAGCATGCGGTAAATCTATCGACAATGAAAGAACTAAAGAATCCAGGTTATCGATGAGAGGCCACGAGGACAACAAACCCTCTGCGTGACACTTAATACAAACACGACGAACACGACTCATCACGAGGCCTAATTACCACGACACGCTGCGCTAATTACACGCTTGTGTTCTGACCAACCATTGTTCCCACTTGGAGCACTGCGTCATATTCAAATTTTGTTCCACGTTTATATTTATGTACAATGTATCAGTTTAACCTGCTCCAAAACGTTGAAATCCAAACAATGGATTTACATTGTTGTGCAAGTTTAGGTAAACACAGACAATCCGCATATTCCACTGCAAAATGCCGATCGCACCAAATCCAGTACGGTTGTTATTTCTCACGGTGTCCGTTCACTGGAGGTTAACTCGTCAGCTGTTGTACTGGCATGCGTTTAGACTAGAGCCGGGACTCTGCAACCCGCTATATCCGAAAGATGGATGCTGCTTGGATTTCAGTCTTAAGGAGTTGCAGGTGTCCCTGTAGACGCTGTAAGGAGATCCCGGAGGTCCGTAGGGGCACGCTGACGAGCTCATGGCCGGATTGATCGCGGAGCTCCCGATACCGTTCAGGTTACCGATGTTGCTCAGGCCGGTGGTCGGCATGCCAGGCACGGCGGAGTGTCCCATCCCAGACGCCATGCTCATGGAGGAGATCGAGGTCGGGGCTGAGAACATGGACTGGGACGTGAGGGGACTCATGGAATTAAAGAAGGTGAAGTTCTTGGTGGACAGCGGGGTTGGGGCCAGGCCTTTGTTGGTCCAGTTGTTGTAGGTGTACGCGGGGTAGACGTCATCATACGGCTGCATTAGTCCGCTGAACTGGGGCAGGTAACTGTTCTTACACAAATCCATTTGCTGGTTGCGCTCCCTTTTTCTCCATTTCGCCCTCCGATTCTTGAACCAAACCTACGGAAGAGGACGCGTTATTCACTCAAGCGCAACAAATGCTATTAAAAGTTGACTCAAAGCAGTAGTCATAAACTTATGCAAAACTTTTTTTTTCTTGCTGTAGAGGTCATTTGCAAAATATTTAATATTCGCAATGAGATGAGCACATTAGCTACATTTGTATGTGAATAGCTTACAATTTAAAATATCAGCGAGATATATTTTTACCACAAAACCCTGGACCAAAAAAAACAGTCATAAATAGCACAGGTATATTTGTAGCAATAGCCAACAATACAGTGCATGGGTCAAAATAATAGATTTTTCTTTGATGCCAAAAATCATTAGGATATTAAGTAAAGATCATGTTCCATGAAGATATTTTGTAAGTTTCCTACCGTAAATATATCAAAACTTAATGTTTGATTAGTAATATGCATTGCTAAGAACTTCATTTGGACAACTTTAAAGATGATTTTCTCAATATTTAGATTTTTTTGCACCCTCAGATTCCAGATTTTCAAATAGTTGTATCTCAGCCAAATATTGTCCTATCCTAACAAACCATACATCAATGGAAAGCTTATTTATTCAGCTTTCAGCTGATGCATAAATCTCAATTTCAAAAAATTGACCCTTATGACTGGTTTTGTGCTCCAGGGTCACATATAGTGTTTGAAAACAAATCAAAAAGCGCAATGCATGTATTTGTCTATAAATTTAACCAACAGTAAAACATCAGTCATGTAGCGAACGTTTTACTAATGAGGATCAGAATATGTTTTTTGAATGCTGTCGAATTATTTAAAAGCCTGCAAGGAAATATTTCTGAATCTCGCTGAAAAAAAGGCTATAATATAGGCCTACGTTTGCTTTCGTGGCCTGGAAGTAGAGCTTTTAATCCTTTAAAAAATAATGAGAAGCAATCCTTAGTCTAATTAAAAAAGGTTCTATTTTCAAATTCATAACAGGATACGCACTGAACGAACAAATCAACAATTCACAAATTGAACACTTTTTACAACTGATAAAACTTGATTTAGTTAGCTTATTAAATAGGTCATTTTAATTTGCTAGTTAATCTGCACATTTGATCTTGTAAATATTCCACTGAAATAAGTGAGAAAATACTCTCCAGTCTTGGCCTGAAACGCATCCAAGGTTATTCTGTAGCTAAAATGTTAGATAACACTTTAATTTAAGGTGTCCTTGTTACACGTTACATGTACTTACTATTACATGCATGATGCAAGTAACCCTAATCCTAACCCTAACCATATAGTAAGTACATGTTCATTTGCAAAATATTTAATATTCGCAATGAGATGAGCACATTAGCTACATTTGTATGTGAATAGCTTACAATTTAAAATATCAGCGAGATATATTTTTACCACAAAACCCTGGACCAAAAAAAACAGTCATAAATAGCACAGGTATATTTGTAGCAATAGCCAACAATACAGTGCATGGGTCAAAATAATAGATTTTTCTTTGATGCCAAAAATCATTAGGATATTAAGTAAAGATCATGTTCCATGAAGATATTTTGTAAGTTTCCTACCGTAAATATATCAAAACTTAATGTTTGATTAGTAATATGCATTGCTAAGAACTTCATTTGGACAACTTTAAAGATGATTTTCTCAATATTTAGATTTTTTTGCACCCTCAGATTCCAGATTTTCAAATAGTTGTATCTCAGCCAAATATTGTCCTATCCTAACAAACCATACATCAATGGAAAGCTTATTTATTCAGCTTTCAGCTGATGCATAAATCTCAATTTCAAAAAATTGACCCTTATGACTGGTTTTGTGCTCCAGGGTCACATATAGTGTTTGAAAACAAATCAAAAAGCGCAATGCATGTATTTGTCTATAAATTTAACCAACAGTAAAACATCAGTCATGTAGCGAACGTTTTACTAATGAGGATCAGAATATGTTTTTTGAATGCTGTCGAATTATTTAAAAGCCTGCAAGGAAATATTTCTGAATCTCGCTGAAAAAAAGGCTATAATATAGGCCTACGTTTGCTTTCGTGACCTGGAAGTAGAGCTTTTAATCCTTTAAAAAATAATGAGAAGCAATCCTTAGTCTAATTAAAAAAGGTTCTATTTTCAAATTCATAACAGGATACGCACTGAACGAACAAATCAACAATTCACAAATTGAACACTTTTTACAACTGATAAAACTTGATTTAGTTAGCTTATTAAATAGGTCATTTTAATTTGCTAGTTAATCTGCACATTTGATCTTGTAAATATTCCACTGAAATAAGTGAGAAAATACTCTCCAGTCTTGGCCTGAAACGCATCCAAGGTTATTCTGTAGCTAAAATGTTAGATAACACTTTAATTTAAGGTGTCCTTGTTACACGTTACATGTACTTACTATTACATGCATGATGCAAGTAACCCTAATCCTAACCCTAACCATATAGTAAGTACATGTAGTTAATTAATATTACTCAGTAGGCTTAAATGTATAATTACACTGTAACAAGGACACCTTAAAATAAAGTGTAACTAAATATTGTGCTTATGCAAATGTTTCTGACTGCACTGTTTTTAGGGTTCTCGTACCCGGACTCGGGCCTCCGTGAGGTTGGTCCACACTGCGATCTCCTCTCTGGTGCTCATGTCCGGGTATCGGTTCCTCTGGAAAGTGGCTTCCAGCTCCTGCAGCTGCTGGCTGGTGAAGTGAGTCCTCTGCCGTCTTTGTTTCTTTTTCTTGGACTCGTCGGCATTCCCATCGTCACTTCTCTGCTCGACAGACCTCTCCTTTTCTGGGGAGAATAATTTTAAGGTGATATGTGGTGCTCAGTCGCACCTATTTTTGCCAGAGATTTGGAAGGAGTCGGACTCAAACCGGGAGTCGGACAAAAGGGGATCACGATTCGTGTACACAGACTGTCGTGCTCGTCAAGCCATACATATGCAAACACGTCTTATTAAAATATGTCTCTCAAACGGGATCTATTTGCACACAATGCTCACGGCTGTATTATTTTAAATATCCAACACAGACGTTAAAGGCCTATCCAGTGGAAAGAACTTTCGGCCGTGTTTTAAACTCAGGCCTAGTTCGTTGTTGTTTACGCATCTCGACTACTTTCATATAAAGATTTGCAGTTTATGCAACAGCGTCCTCCAGCTAATAAACGCGCATTTAATTGTAATATCATTTCTAGAAACCGGTTTGGTAGCGGTTATCGAGTTCTTTATAGGATCAAAACATAGGCTATATCCAGCAGTTGAAATATTCTCTGTTTAGAAAGCAATAATAATAATACAGGCTAAACGTGAATTTATATTTAGTTTTTGCAATTGCAAAGCAGCAAGCTGCCAACGTGCAACAAGCGCTGCATGCACTGCTTCTGCAAAATTAGGCCGAAAAAAAAAACCCCGGCTAAACAAATAAATAAGTTATTTCTATGTACTAAAACAAAAAATTGCAGGCATGGCAGATATGTCAGGAGACAATATTTTTAAAATGTAAATGCATGCTTTTAGTCAAATAGGCTTGCTTGCATATACTTTCGGCATGTTAATGTTGTGTGGTTTATTCTATGGATGGGTATGTAAATATATGTCGTTTACCTGCTGTTTCATTATCTGAAGATTCGCAGCTCGAGTTCTCTAACGTTTCTCTGGTGCTGTTGCTTCTCGGCAGATGAAAAGATGAGGCCATGTCCAAATTTATTCCACCTTTAAAACAATCATGCGTGTTACAAAAGCTCCTCCAGCGCTGCGACGCAAGCGTCGGTATATTTGCTAAGCAATCCACTCCGCTTTTCTAACGAATAAACACGTGGACAGCCAGCGATCTCGCGCAATATTGTCCTCCAAACTACTGTAGATATATTCCTGAAGAGTGAGTGTTTGGTGTGAACGAGTGGAGGTGCAGCAGCAGCAAACAGCAGGACCCACCCATCCTCTCTTCCCCGCGTCCACTGTCAGTCCCACCCACAAAGCCCAATCATACATTAGACATACTTTTTCCTGAGCTTCTGGCAATATCGCTGCATGCACCTTGTGTCGGAAACAGTGTTTTTGGACTCAGGCTGCATGAGCCATGAACAGTAAGAGGCTATTAGCTAAAAAAAAAAAATCAAACGCACAAAACCACCTTATCCACGCTGACAAATATCAGTTCTACAGCGCGTTCTGCAGCTAGACAAGTCCAGCTGATTGTGTTTCTAATAAAGTTAAGTTATTTTTTACGTCAACCATATTTTGTCCAATGTGCATAATTGCTGTTATTCTCGTGCGGTTTAATAACAGTCATTGGAGCAATGTCAGCACTTAATTGTTAACATTAAAAAAGAGGCTAACTTTATTTGCCATTGACAATTCCATTTGTTCAGTGTGCAGTTGGGCTTTCTGCTTTGAATACTGGCGACATGTCGAAACCAGCAAACCAAGCGGTGTGTTCAGAGGAAAGGTCTTTTGCATTTGAGGCTCATGAACACGTTATTATGCTCAGTGACTGTTCAGGACTAATGCAGACACATTTACTCTTGCCTACAAACATTATTACCACTATTGCCCAAACAATGACGGTAGCTAGCTACTATTGTAGAAACAGTCCAATAATTAGAAATATGATATGGGCTTATTGTGACAGTTCCATTCTCAGTCAGAAAACATCTCACTTTCACGTCTGATTGTTCTGTGCGGGATTTTTTCAGGTTAGTGGCGCCTGCTGGTTGGTGAGAATACAAAGCCGCCTGACAGCCGCCTTACAATCATCCGCGGCCCTTAAACGAAAAATATTAGACTCAGGAAAGCGCCATTTCTAGATGTTTACGACACAGAGTCCGCCACCAGCTTTCTCAAATTATTTCCGCAGTTTCCACACTGCAGACAATTTATATTTTTATTTTATAAACAAAGAAACCGAAGGTTTATGTTTTTACTGTTGTGGCTTTGAAAAAAATTTTTTTTTATTTATTTATTTATAATAAAATAAAAAAAAAAACATTTTATTTTTACATGGCCATATGTATAGCAACACCCCC